CATAACATACTGAAGTATATTAAGACATACAAAGAAGATACATAGATATCGAAACATTTAAAAAAAATACATTATGTATTTTATAAAACAATCTAATTAAAGAGAACAGGAAAGGTTGGGGGTAGTGAGTGGAAGACGTGAGCGGGGTAGAAAAATAAGATTTTGTAAATAAAATATGATGTAGGGAGAAACAGAAAGAAAGTGAGAAAAACTGAGAGGGTGGTCGGTTAGAAAAACAGAAAGAAAGAGAGAGAGAGAGAGAGAGAGAGAGAGAGAGAGAGAGAGAGAGAGAGATAGAGCGCGAAAAACAGAAGGGTACCCGTATGATGGAGTCCAAGGAACTGTTTCTTTTCCTTTTTCTTTTGGAAATGGAGGCAAAGTTGTGGCAATAACTAAGAAACCTCTATGTCTGTCTACTAAAGCCTGCAGATGATCCTCGTTACTTTGTAGTCTTATTGTTAAGCTCATGAGATAAGCGCATCTCACTTTGACCCCTGACGACCCGAATCCTGTCCCCGTCGTTTTATGCAAGAAAAATTTTGAAATTATGCAAACTGAGCCCAAAAATGTGAAATTATGCAATTTTGTTAATTTTTAACAAAGGATGATACAGTGGACCTGCATGTTTGCCGACAATTGTCTGAAATCTGACAATTGCGACCCAACCCGCGAGCCGGCCGATGCTATCGCTAGACCCACCTGTATCAGTCAATGTGTGAAGTGCGAGGCCTGGCCGACTGCCAGCGCCCCCTTTTTCTCCCGTCAGCCTTGTCGGCACTTTCGTTTTCGGGCTGACTGCCGACGTCAGCGTTTCCGACATAATTGTCGGAACCTGAGTAGAAATACGAATACGAAAAAGTACGACAACCTAAATTATCTACTTTCAGTTTCGTGCTCGAGCGGCCAATTTGAATTTCGTTTGTTTACTGATTGTTCAGATCATGTGGATTCTTTCAAGACCGACTCACTTGTTCTGATCTAGATTTATAGATCATTATAGACCTCAATGGAGGATTCATATTCCAATTCTATTGTGTCAAACCCTATTATAGGTTGTGCTGTAATATTAATGTTGATAAAACACATTTCATCAGGTGCGTGAATTATTTACTTAGAATAGATCTAAAGATCAGATCTAGACTCAGCTGAGTTCCTCTATTCGGAATCGGTTTCGGATTTCTCGCTCTAGGCCTATTCCTATTCACTTGTTCTTCTAGATAGATCTGGATCTAGATCTAGATTTATTTAGATCCTAGATCTTTAACTCTTATCCTGCGTCTGTGCCCAGATGCGTATCTTATCAGCAACCGATTACGTCGGACTCGCCGGGCAGGCCGCCGAGG